TAAAGTTAAAGTAAAGTAATTTAAAATAATGTAGATTTTAATACATTTTGCCTTATATGATTGTTATGCTCTTATGTACTAACTTCTCTTGCAGATTGTTTTATTCGTTAACCAAAAGTTTATTTTTTAATAAGCATTTCAAAATAACCAAAGTTAGTAACTAAAAAAAATATACCTAATAGCTTTCATAGATTATTCTGTTGTTGACGTGCGATATATTTACATTCTTTTTAAATGTTAACTATTTAAATAAGACATAAATGTCGTACTACAGTTAATAAAATACATAGTAAAACAGTCATAAAACCCTTCAAATTTCCGTTTTAACGTGAACGGGTAATAATGGCGTGCAAACATATGCTGTAACGGTACAAAGAATAGTAAAAAGTAAACTGAACAAATACGAATGGGTTTGCTTAACGGGCCAAGCGGCCGTTGCTAGGGCGACCAAGGACTAGGGTTGCCATCCTTTCCGAGTTCTTCGGATTTAGCACACATTGCACAGTGTTTAGAGAGCATTGCATTTTTTAAACTTTGAATAGTTTTTTTTTACATATAAAAAATATTTTATGTGTAATTATTTACTAGGTGAATGAAATCACATTGTGTTATAAATTTAAATAATAATTATAAAAGAATAAAAATCTGGGATTTTAGTAGTTTTCGATGTTACAATTGGCAACCCTGTCAAAGACTAGTATGCCGTTTGACACCGATAGCGTTGTACATTTAAAATTCAATGAATCAATTAATTTACAGATGAGACTTGTATCGAGTTCGCCAGTAACAATTTCACTGTTTGTACATCAAATAATGAATCGATATGGGTTCTTAACTGCAATATTATAATTGTACTAGATATTTTAAATTACAAAGTAAGAACTTTAGCATAATCTTAATATTCTGATTCAATATTATATAGAGATTCAATCTATACGCATATTTCCTACTACGTTAGATTTGACTATTATTATAGTACAGGAGCTGCATACGAATACGCGAAATGATGTCATATTCCATAATTATATTCTCTACTATAAATATCCATTAAAGGATTACTACTTTCAAAGCTTTTTTCTGCAGTCGGTTAAGATTTACACTTTAATAAAATAACATTAATCTTCATCATATCAGCCGTTAACTGTCCACTGAACATCGGTTTCCACCTTGGGGGGTTTTGCCAGTAGTTGCCACGCTTAGCGTGTTTTTTTTTTAATGGGTTATAATGGAATGGTAACCCCACCTGCGCTATCGGTATACACTGGCAGGGCACCAGTAAGTGATGATAGATGAGGATGAAAGCAGGTCAGTTAACCCATTGTGACGAATTCCACTAGAATTAACCACGATGGTTTCCAGTGAGAACCGCGTGGAGGTCGACCTGATAGGGTATATTACTAGCAATGGGTTCATTAGACCTTATTAATAACAATCCCTTCCCCCCACGTTTAGCGGGTTGGGAATCGCAGTTAGGTTTTAGTGATATTTTAATAGAGACGCTGCTGCCTATCCCGTGACTATTAAGTTCTAAGAAGAAGGGGTAGAAAAGAAGGGGTAGACTATGCTGGGGCCACGCGGCTAACAAAATTACAATACTCAATAATAATACTACTAAACTGTCACAAAAGTAATTTTTTCTATTAAAAAAGGAATAATTGAAATTGATTAGTGAAAATAACGCGTATCATACCTAACAAAATAAAAACATAAAAGGAGAACACTTTTGTAGTTTTTTATAATGGTAATACTTTTTTAAATAATAACAGTTGGTAACTGTAAGGTAGGTTTGTAGGTACGAGTAGGTGCCTACTGTGAGACGTAGACGCAGTCAATTCTGTAATTGGGAAAGCAAGACTACAATTGGGAAAGTAAAGTCGCTACTAATAGCAAAAGCTAATCAGGTCGTTTAAAACCCTAAAAAAAGATAAAATCATTAAAAGATATTAGCGGTTGACGAATTATCAGTCGTGCGTTAATTAAAGTTTTGTGCACGAACGCACATTACTAATTTAGGTTATCTAATTGGCTTTTTAAAAAAACGTTATAAATTTTGTATCGTATTCCTTTAGAAGCAATTAGTATATGAAAAGATTTTAGGTAATATTGGCCCTATTTATATTACAAATATGAAAGTTTGTATCATCCGTTAACTGACCACTGCTGAATATTGCCTACCCTATAAGAGGCGTTTTGCCAGTTGTTGCCACACTTGGTAGGCGGATTGGCAACCGTATTGTAATGTTTTAAGAGAGATGCTGCTGCACATTCGTCGACCATTAAGTTCCCTTATTCGCCTCTTAAGACAATTATGGGAAAGGAAGGGACCACACGGCAAAGTGAAAACAAAAGTTTAAATCCCGTTTAATTTAATTTCAAACCTATTAACCATTTAAATAGATTTGAAATTAAATTTACTAAATAGATAGAACACAATTCAGCTGTCGTGAAAATCAAAAACAAACGAACGAAAATTGCAATTTATTTTTTGAATTGAAATGACAAAAAAGCTAACAATCCACCTGATAATCGTCACTTATAGCATATATAGCAGTATAAATATTACTGAATACACTGTGGTCCGTGAATACATGGTACCCATTATATGTAACATTTCTTAAAACTAAGACCTTACCTTTCTTCTTCATCAATCAAAGAGTTCTTCGCAGTTGCCAACCCGCCTGTCAAGCGTGGCAACTACTGGCAAAATTTATCCTTTATGGGAGGCCTATGTTCATTAGTGGACAGTAAACGGCTGATTGATGTGATTATGGAGGCAGTTTTATTGTCATTTAAATATGATTTTACAGAACAATTTGCATCCGTGTAAAACCAAAACAAGTTCCTAGTATTTTATATAATATCCGTCCCGATAAATTCAATAATACCCTAATGATTAAATTCCACGTAATGATAGAGGATAAAAAATTTCACAATATATTTATAGGCGTGAAAACTATGCTACTGAAGAAAGACACCACAAAATATTTAGTATAGAAGCATGAAATATTGAGAGGGAGACTTTGTACAAAAGTCGATTGCTTGGGTACCTCTGTCCCATTCGTGTTTCTACCGTGAAGCAGTTGTGTTTGCATGGCTGTGTTTCGGTTTGAAAGGTGGGATATGGCGTGAATTTACAGGGTACAGAGGAATAACACCTGAGTCCTCAGGAATGGCAACGCATGGACCCCCCAGGGCGAAACAGTATACTCTGTTATGTCCATGGTACTGCTCGTGTCTATAGGCGACGGTTACCACTTTCCATCATGTGGGTCGTCAGCTTGTTTGCCATTCTAAGTTTTGTATAAAGAAAAAATCTATATTTTATGCTTCTCGTGTTGACACTAAAAGTAAAACAAATACGTATGGTGCAAATTAAACATATTCTCTCCCTGTCTAAAACTACTAAACAACTAGGAAGAATATATTCCCTTTAGAACAAATTCACTGAGAGTAAATTGGCTATGATTCTAGGAAACATCAACGCGAAATTGCTTGCGCGCATGTATTGCTTCATAAAGGATATCTTTTAACCATTTCGTTCAACACCTCAAGTATTACAATAAATATGTGGAATTTCACTACGTATTTAAAAGGAATTTGTAATAAACTTGTATGTGTTGACTAAAATGATACTAAAAATAAGCCATTGTAAAATAACTGAGTAATACAACCTAGTGTTCAAACTACTAAATTTAGAAACTCATTTTTTTTTTGGGAATTTTCAATTATATCTCCAAATGTCTAAAGAAAATGCCGATAGAAATGGGAGACAACAGCTTTACTGTAAACGAAGATGCAAAAAAGCTCTACAGCGTTTTATGTATCAAAACCCAAACTTTATAATATTATATGTATAGTTACATAGTATAATTATAAAATTAAATGTTGTAACCAATAAAGTATATATTGAATGATTATCAAAACTCAAGTCAAATCAAATTGAAATTATGTTGTAATATATCAAGACATTCAATAAGAAAATGTATTTGAAAATTCTCCTAAGAATGAAAAATAAATACATCTTGTCATTGTAGGTGTTTCGACTTGGCAGCGAAATCTTAGGGCTCCAGGAATAGTTACTTAGTTTATCTTCTGTTAGTGCGTACACGCACGTTAGTGTTACGACAGCTTTCTTCTTGCTTACTTTGTTTAATGGAATATTTGTTTACGAGTTTCCGTCTTCGAAGTTATTTACTTAGGTTAAACGGCTGTGGTTCATGCGAACTGTTTAATTTTCACTTAAATGTTTAGAAAAAGTTTAAAACAGTAATTATATACTGTGATAATGGATCCATTGTTTTGCAACTAATGTGTTACTAGTAAGCATAGAACGTGTTCTAAATTAGTTTTTAATATGATTTTTGTAAGGTTTGAAATCGTTTGAACTTTACGACGCCTTACATAATTTTTTTATATTGATTATTATTAGCCACAGGTATTTATAATGAGTCATAATGTCACAGTAATTGTTACTGTTAGGCTTTGTTGCCTTTATCTATTACATTTTGTTGTCATTAATCATATAATAATAGTTATAAATTATAGACTTTATAAAGATGCTTGAACTGCTTATGGGATACAAAAAAAAAAAATATTAGAACATAGTTTAATTAAATTATTTTAATATTGAATGAAATATAATTTTGGTTTTTTTTTACCTTACTCATATAGGTTGTAAAATGGACTTTTCCAAAAACGTGTTTACTGTTTGTTAAAAGAATTGATAATCATGTAAACAAATAAATAGTTGAAGTGGCCTTAAAACAATCTGCTAATTTTCAGTAATAGTAGATACAAATAAAAAATCCATTAATGTATTGTATTTTTTGTTTGTTACTAATTTAATTTATGTTAGAGAGTAATTTCCTTCCATGTTACAAGGATTCATGAGCGTCGGTAGCAGTTCTCATCAGATGCAGTATCAGTTCGGTTGCCACCTTAAAAACAAAAAATAGACAATCTTGGAAGATATTTAAAGGGACAATTTTTTATCGTTACAGGTGAATTTGACATGCGAGTGAAGTCGTGCGCTGCTTCAGATGGTTCAGGGCACATCATCCAGCTATCAGATGAATACGGGTGTGTTCTTCGGCCTAAAATGATATCAAGGTATTTATTAGTTTTATAAACTTTGCTATTATTGATCATTACTATAAAAAATATCCTTTTTTAAGAACACTTTGAAGGTAGGAATTGTTTCTAGCAATTTTCAAAACTATTTACTTTGAGATATTTAATTTTGAAGGTAAGTAAAGGTAAGTACTTTTTAAAGTAAGGTACTTAAACTTTCGCTATAAACATATTGTAATAGTATATCGAAACTAGTTTCGATAATTAAAATTAAGGCTAGTCGTTAAAAATAAAGGCGTCTTTTGTATTGCATTGCTTGCATTAGTTTATACTAATAAGAGAAACAACTTTGGTAATTTCCAGGTTCCTCAAAGCTAAAGCAGCCGATGAAAGGGCTACAGTCATAACGTACGCATTCTTCCACGCGTTCAAGTTCCCAGATGCTCTCAGCGTCCATATTAGATGCAAGGTGGAAATCTGCAGACATGGATGCCTGGACCATTGTCAATTAGCTGGCGTAACACAGCAAAGACATGGAGCTCTGGACAGAAAAGACGACAGGACTCATCAGGACCATAACGAAATTAAGTATGTTACATTTATTTAAATTAGTAAAATTATTTTCTAATAAAAATATCAAACGAAAACATAATCGGGTAAAATTTTATTAGATAATTTCATAGTTATTATAAATGGTGTCAGTTATATTTATTATGACATTACTCATATTACTATTCATTTTTGAAATTCATAACATAGATTTACAAAGAACCATAAAATACTGTTCAAAGCTACTAATTGTACCTTGATAAATTGCAAGGTCAAATAGTGAGTGAATACAGCATAATAAAAGATTTTAACTTTTTTAATAATAAAAAATATCAAAATTAATTTACAGTGATTCGTCAGCTGAAGATGCCGAATCGAGTCTCTTAGAGGATCATCAGCGTCTGCCTCTAGAAGAAGCTTTTGGTGACGAGGTCTCTGGCGATGCTGTACCACCTCCAGCGCCTTTGTCCCACCGACCGCCAGCTCCAGTCGTTGAACCAGAGTCAGACCATATGTCTGCTGTTAATGAGCTCGTTGAAGCTCTTGCTAGACCATTCACAGTAAGTACAACAAGCTTTCCCTTGTTTTTGCCTGATACAGAATTTTAATACGTATCGCAATATTAATTTAGTAAGAAATATTAAAAAAAGATATACATATACATTTTCATTACATCTTTGTAGACATTATCGAAAATTATTTGATACTTTTACACATTATATTTCAACTTTTGGAAGCAGTAGTTAAAGAATATTTTGAACTTCAACAAGACATAGTATATGTTAATTTATATTATAATAATGTTTCTATACTCGTAATTCACATAGTTTTAAATGTGTGTTACTTATTTTAAATCAATTTGTTTGCAGGATCGTCCCACTGAACTTGAACGAGAACGCTTCCCTCAAGGTCCTCGCAATTTTGGTTCTAAAGTGAAAATTGAGCCATCAGGCGATGAAGTGGTGCCAGCTAAGCCCCCTGGTCCCGCTGTAGCTGGTCCCAGGTCATTGAGGAAGCGAAGAACAGTGCGTGATGCAAGATCAGCTGACGTTGGTGTATCAGGCATATATGAAGTAGTTTCAGAAGCTGACCTAGCGTTTGGACCGTCACGAGAACCTGTAACTGTATTTAGCGGAAGAATTAGAGAAGAGGTAAATTTTAATTTATAACCTAACTTGAGCAGAATGTATTTTTACAAAAGTAATTTATATTTTAAATAACAATTTTTTTCAACTTCAGTGCCTTAACTAAAACAGAGGTATTACTTAGAATAACAAACAAGCTAAAACCTACCTGATGAAAAGTGATAACCATCGTCTATAGACATAAATAACAAAGTGCATAATAAATATAAAATACCATATAATATTTAACTATCATAGTTCTTATCTTTTTCAACATATATTTAGATACAAAACCTTTTCTAGTGATTTCCATCTACCTTTGTCTTGCCAGTCCAAAACACAATTTACCAGTAACTTTTTTAAAGTCAACCTACCGCATATAGGTTCTGATTCATTTTTCTTTTAATATGGTAATGATATTATGATGATGATATTATCAATAAACTTAATCAATATCTTGGTCTTTTCCTCGTAATCCAGAATATGTTTGTGATTCCAGAATATGGGCCATCAAAATTTATACAAAAAGCTGTTCATAAATTGAATCCAAATATACTTATTACTATGAGATAATTTTTAAGTGACAGTTATTTACTTTTGTGTATTCTTATTTCTAGGTGGTCTACGGAATTTGTATGGGTGCTGTTAGTTTCGGCGCTCTCTTTGCTTCAGCCGCCGGAGCAGCCGCAGGCGCTGCATTAGCAGCCGCTGTGATGTTACAAAGGCTTCGATCTAGGATGGCCTCTCAGCCTTCTGTCCCTGTATCACCAGCTCCTGCTTCCCACTCATTAGCTGCATGGATGGCACTACGACTTCTAGGTTCTCCAACTCATCCACATCATTCCCGCGATGGCTGACAACAAATCCCACAAAAAACTATCTAAGACTGTTTTTAGACTATAAGCGGTTGTCCGCACAAGTTTGTGTCTATCAGATCCAGAAACTATATTTAAATTCATACATACAATTTAGTGGTATTAATCCATATGGATGTCATAAATTACAATACCAAGTTACGGAACTGTTACGGCGCCGACCTGTGTAGACATAAAGATGCGACTCTTACATGGATTGTTTCCTTTGGGAGTCCCATCGATTTTCATGTATAGTGAAATATTATTTTCTTAGGAATTACGAATTCCAATAAAGCGTTGAGATACCTGAAAATTGGGATGATTCGTTGTTCCCTTATTTAGATTTGCACGGTCAGTCATATTTTTATTCATTCATGCACAAATATTATATATTTTTTGAGAAATACAACGGTGACAAAACAGTTGTACCTACTAAAGTTATTATAGGTTGAACAAATAATTGGTTAGATATTACATTTTGCAATTCTTCTATCGTTATTTTAACTGGCACAGTTACTTCAAAATTAGTTACGCCGATGCCAAATAATATTAGAATAACGTAACTGATAAAATTAAAAACATAGTTCTTATAAAATAACGGTTATTTATGTACCGTAAAATATGTAAAACTGTTGTTTTACTGGATATGTGAATAATCATTATTTTTAAATTATAAACATATATAGTCTTTCAATAGGTAAAAATGAATACATATTAATATTGAATCTGAATTTATAATTTTGAATTTTAATAAATATGAACTGTTTTGTCTCAGCTCTGTTATTAGTGTATAATAATATATTTATATTAATAAATTATATTGGAATATTGCCTTACAATGTTGGTGCTACGGACTAAGTCCCATGAAACTCGATTTTCATTTCACATTGTGAATATTTTTATACACGTTATACCGTTAAGTGTTGTACAGTACATTCCTTTGTTTTATATATATACATATAAGTTCGAATTGTAGTATAGAGTTTAGGTCGTATTTTGTCGAAATTTTCATATTATTACAATATTGTTACTATGGATAGCTAGCCAGTTAATTATATGTTACATTATTATGACACAATTAATTCTCACTAAGATCTTGATTTGAGAACGCGAATGAATTCATATAACGATTTTGTGAAAGAGCGTCTTAATTGTTATCATAAGTATTGGTATACTAAGATGTTATATAAATATATATGTATAACCTCTTAAGTCTTAGCTTCTAGAAATGAGTAATATCCGATATCTATATATTGAGTCCTTCTGGACTTTAATGACCTTTAATGAGGATAATATATATATATATATCAAATACGTGTCTCATAGCAAGGGCAGAATTTAAAATTTTTCTTTCATGAATCTCGTTTCAAAGTTCGTCACTCGTGTTCCCATTAAATGAAGTGGTCATAATATTATAATAAATTAACTACGTAATTTAATTTTTATACTTATATTGTATTATTTTTATGTACATCTTTTAATGTTTATAAATTTCATATGATTTATTATTATAAATTTGTAGACCACATCTCTGTACTATAATTCTAGCTAAACAGCAACGTGTTCTTAGTATCTAACAGGTAAGAATAAACGTCGAGTCATGCCATTAGGTTAAGTTTAGTTAATTCCACATGTTCTGCTCAACTTAGTTTCAATTTTAGTTCTTATACTTTAAAGTCAATTATGTTCTATCAAAACCTTATCTTTAGGGTGCTGAGGCTTCTATAGATTTAAAACTTAGTAATTATCTTACAGTTGGTGTAAAATAATATTAAAGTTTGCATTTAAGTAGCAAAATCGCATTCCAAATAAATTGACCACAGAAATTTAATAATGTAAAAAATATTGTAGCCAACAATATTAAATTAAAAGTGTAAGCTAAATACCTATTAATTTCAATTTAATCCCACAGTTGAGTTCTCTGGAGTCTGATTTTAGCACTTTTATATTAGTTAATAGCTTTTGCCCGCTACTTCGTACACGTACATTTTAGAAGACAGAAATATAATGAAATAAACTACTTCTAAGATGACGTATCAAAATGTAATATACACTAGGGGTTTTATCATGAAATGAAATTCCGAATTATCAGAATCAATTTCGTGGTTTTATTCATAGCGGAACCGGCCCAGTAAATGGAACTCTACATTTCGCTTGTCATACCTTCTATCATAATAATCTAAAGGAACTATATTTTCATGTTTTTAATATTTTTAAAATGGTGTATATAAATGTAATTTTAACATCAAATTTGTGTTTCGTTCGGCCCTGAAATCTGGGAAAATATTTTATGGTAGGTTCTTTAATTTTAAGTTAGACTTTCAAGAACATAACTGTGGAAATCGCATCCAATTTGCTATAATAGTTTTTACTTGATACCAGAACAAATATACAGAGAGGCAGAAAATATTGTTTTGACTGCTGTTGCTCTTATTAAGATCCCTTATTACAATTCATATTACGGTATTGTTTTAAAAACAATTTCACTGAAGCATATCAAGTTAAATATTATTTTTAAACAAAAAAGCTACCTCTGAATACTGTAATAACGCTTAAATTCGAAAGGAAAACGTATAATACTCTGAAGTATTAAGTTCTTATTTTTATTTTTTTTAATTGTTATATTTCAGAAATTAATAACTCTAAAAAAGAACTATTTACATTATTCTTTTAGAATTTCGTATTGTAAATTTTATAAAAAGTACTAAACTCTTCTCTTTTCGATGGCGGAAGCATCTTTAGTACTTAGTTATTTTGCTTTAGTACCTATTATAATGTACTTAAATTAAGTTAGTAATTTAGTAAATAATACAGTAATGATATTGTAATATACTATAGTTGAGACACCAATGAAAGCTACTTATAAAATAGACTTCTCTGATACATCGCATTTATTACACATAAGATAGAATTCTTCATAATTGCTCAAATTGAAATAATTTATTTTTGTATTTTTATACACATATCTATATTTAAAAATATAGCTATGATTAGTTTAATTATAGTTTAAGTAATAAAGCTAAAAAAAAATATATGTTTATCAATTAATCTTGCATTGAAGCGTATATAATTAAATGCTAAATTTTATATGCTTTACGATCCAAGATTGATAAACAATTGAACTATTTTTATATTAAACTATCACTAAATAATGCCGATTACCCAAATATCTTGCATTTATGATAATGAAATTATAATTTGTATTAAGTTACGTGAAGAATATGTGAGAAAATAATTTCTCTGAGTGCAATTTTATTTTTACTTTTTTTTATAGAAAAAAATTATATAACTTGTCATTAAGTGTCCTTCTACTCGGTTATGGTGCTTCTGGTATATTCTATTATATATTCTTACGTATCCAGGGGGTTCAGTATTTATTGTGAACATTTTAATAATATGAATATGTATTTGCAATTTTTCTGTACGGCTGCGGTGACGATGTGTTTAACGCGTAAGCGCCTGTTAATTTGTTTAATGGAATAAAATGTATGTTGAAAGAGCTTTTCGAATATTTTTTATTTTAAATTAAAAGAATAATGATAAATGACCTTATGGAAAGTGATAACCATCGATTATAGACATAAAGAGCACCAAGGACATTACAAAATACGCTCCTGCTTGCTGTGAGAATTGTGTTTCCATTATTGAGTTTTTCTTTATGCAACTCAGCATGGCAAACAAGCTGACGGCCCTTGATGGAATGGAAAGTGATAACCATCGCCTATAGACATGAATAGTACCATGGACATAACAAAGTATACTGTCTCCTCCTTGATACCCCCCATACGTTGACATTTCTGAGGACTAAAGTGTTATGCCTCTGTACCCTGTACATTCACACAATTACACACTTATATCCTACCATGTCCCATGTATGTGTGGTCCTGGCATATAATTGTCCACCTCTTACTTTCCCGTGGATGTCATTAGAGGCGACTAAAGAAAGGCGAGAGATGGGCAGCAGTATCCCTCTTAAAGCATTTCCAAAACTTAACTACGGTTTCCAATCTGCCTGCCAAGCGTAACAACTTCTGGCAAAACCCCTCAAAGGGGAGTTTTCTGTTCTGTTAAATTCTGATATGATGATGAAGATGAATACACCCTTAAAACCAAAATGCAGCCATACAAATGAACGGTAGAAACACGAATGCAACAGAGGTACATAAGTAAACGACTTTTGTACAGTCTCCCTCTGGTATTATGCCTCCGTACCATAGAATTTGACTGTGAATGAAAACTTTGACTTGAAAAAAAGCCCACTCTGATCAGGCTGTTTAAACGGTATGCTATATTAGAGGATTTAATTTAAAATTTTCTTTATATTAAAGTAATCACCCACCTAAACCTGTGGATTATAGTAGAAATTTTAAATTAACGACCTTCTAATATTTGCAGGTCTGATCCCCGCACAATTGTTTATTTGTTAATTTAACGACTTGACCAATCGTCATGAAATTTAATTTACACGTATAGTGGTGATGGAAAAACATAGTTCAAAATCTTGTTTTTCACGAAACTTTGTGAATAAATATGTTTTTTTTTGATGGGTGAAAATGGTATGGTATGGCCCGCCTGCGCTAACGAGATACGCTGGCGGAACACCAGTGAAAGGTGATAGATGAGAATGAAAACAGGCCAGTTAACCCATCATGATGAATTCATGAGCAATTAACCACGATAGTTTCCAGGGGGGACCGCGAGGAGGTCGACCTGATTGGGTATATTGCTAGCAATGGGATTCTCAGTTTCCATCACTAACAATCCCTTTCCTCCCTGAACTTACTAAATATAAGGTTGTATGTCTATTTAGTACATCATTACAAAATAGCCTGCTTTATTACTTTTTTTATAACTAAGTGAGCAAAGATGCATACGACTCAGAGAAATTGCAGGTGTGTTACGCCGGTAATCCTACCTAAAAAACAGCATTAACCATCCTAAAGATGCCCATCTTTAGGATGGTTAATGCTGTTTTTTTTTAAGGTTTCAATATGGACTTCTACTTAAACTACTTCAATTTTATCTGTAAATTATACTACTGAACTACTTATCAGTGTACGTTATTAGAAGAGTGAAATAGGGTATGGGTATCTGTATTTAATAAATTATTCCTCTGCTTTTACAAACTGTAAATGGGCACTGGAGACGATTCTGAAGTCACCTCTAAATCTATATCTCTTACATTCATTTTAGTTTGATAATATCGCAAAAGTATTATTTTATAAAACTTCTGACTAAAATGTGTTAAAAATTTTGTTTATATTGATCCTTAGAATAAAGATTTCACTACACTATCAAACTGAAATTACAATTTTAAGGTTAGGTTCAGAGAATAACCTAATGGATAGTGTATGTGTATTTGTAATATCAATATTATATATATTTCATAACAATACACATTTCTACAAGTAATAATGGTATTTAAAAAAAAAAAAAGTGAATCACAGCAGTCAAACAATAAAGCATCGGTCACTAGTAGTAAAGTATCTTAGAATTGATAATGCATAAAAATTATTATCATGGGTTTTATCGTATTTTTCCATCATGTCGATAGTACTTATAATGGCTATAGATAACTGTTATCCCTACATACAATAAAATTATTTTTTTTATTTTTTCAAGATGGATTTGCATATGATTTTACTTCAGTTGATGGTGAGTAATGACAAAAACTAAGATGGAGTACGCTTACTCAACAAAAAAATACTATTTCATCATCGACTTGAAGAGCCTTAGGCGGTGCCTTCTGCTTTTGTATTTCTCAGTTATTAATATTATCAACGGTAATTCATTTACAGCGTAGGGTACCCAATTAAAACACACAAATTCTTCGTAATATTTATTTTTTCTGAAAATTTTCTTTATTACAGTTTCTGCAGTTGAATGGAATTTATATAATATTTTCCTTTCTATTATTTGGACTTCGAGCGTAACAATTATGGAAACTATTAACATTTAACAAGAGTTATAACATTCTCTAACAAAAGATAAACATTCGTAGTATTGTGGTGAAAAACAACTTCGATAACAAAATAAATAAAGTTAATAAGAAGAAGAGGTACTCAGGTGGTATAAAATAAATAAATTACACGTAGCAATGACTATAACGACGACTTAACTAAATTAAATAATATTAATACTAATGACAAGTTAAATTATATGCTAGCGGTTCACCTAAATATTGATATAACACGTGTATTTTCCGTTGCCCCTAATTCAAATACTTATTTGAAAAGAGGTAACAGAAGATTGTACTTATGTTAAATGTAATACTACATTTGTGAATTCATTAATTTGTTCTATATTCGCCCTATCATTCATTGGAATGTAACGTGTTACACTCTAAGGCACACCTAACAGACCACCAAAGAAACACTTTCATAAACCAATGGAAAAGCTGAATGTATTGTTAAAGAATTACAGACAAATGCTTCATAATCTACCTATAATTATATAGGAAACAAAGATTTAATTGAAGCGTCTTTACAGCATTTGTTTTTGCTAAATTAAAATTCAATAAATTATTAATACTAAATACGTGCTTCTGCAATTCCATTTAATATTTTTGAGCACTCTGATAACACGCACATAAAATTGGCATGATCCTCAAACATCAGTCTCATCACACTAATATGTACAAATTGAGTTAAATAGATGATGTTACGAATAGAACCGACTTTTTGAAATTACATGTGCTGTGGGCGGTGGGTGCGGCCGAGCTATCGTCGAGATAGCTGCTGTTTTCTTTTTCAACGATGTTATAGGACGCAATTTTATGAATAATACTGCTGATACAGCACAAGAGCAAAGCAAAGTGGCAAGAAGAGCACCAAGCGTAGCTGCGAATCCAGGTGTAGTCATACATACTAGGCCTGGTGTCGGAACAATTTTAGGAGCTGGACTTTCTTCCGATGTATCTAAATTTAAATCGCCAGCAGACACCACTCGAATAACTCTGTTTACGCCAACTTCCTTCTCCGGAGAAGTGGCTCGTCGTTGTCGTCGTACTCTTCTTTCATCTCTTCTAGCTTCAACCCCAACAGGATAAGCGTCGATTTGTGGAGGCCCATACTCAGCATGAGGTGCAATCACATTATGACCTCCATCAGAGCATTGCTCGGGGCATCGGTATCTACAAATCTGAATAGTACATTGGAAATGGACCTCCATGGAATCCGGGAATTTGAACGCTTGGAAGTGAGCATATGAAAGAACACTGGCACTAGCTCCAAAATTCTTAATTTTCGTAAATCTTGACATCAATTTAGGTCTTGTTACACAGCCTCGCCTATCGACTAATTGTATAGGTGCGCGTTGACCATCATGAGCCACACAATCTCGAACTAACATATCGAATTTCGCGTCGTCATCTTTGATAGCCAGAACCATGGTCATTGTTTGACCAATCTTTACAAGTCCTGAGACTTCTGAGGCCCACGGTCCTTTACCCACTTGAATTTGCATCCAGCATCCAACATTATCACCAGCAAAGTCTGCCCTTACAACGTCTAACATATCTACTGGGAATGGTCTGAATGTTACCGCCTTTTCATATTGATCATGCCACGTGCAACGCAATTTACGAGCTTGATCCCAAACTTCTTGCACTTGAGGATCGTATTGGATAACTATAACATTTTCAAAGTAGGTTCCAGCGGCTGCAACATCTCCTCTGTATCGAGGATCACCGCTGCCAGCTGTGCCACAGGCATGAGCACCAATTTCGAATGAAGCAGATGATCTACCCAAATTAGGAGGAAGGTGTACACATTGATGATTCGAATAATGTCCTTTGGAGAAAACTATTCCAAAGAATGGTTTGTCAAAGCTAAGAAAGACTCGCATTGCATTCTTTTCACATTTTACATCAAGTGATACAATCTTCGGCATATCGGGTGCAGGAGCTGGCCAGACATCTCCAGCGCCACTGAATACTTTTTCACTAGCTGAGGTCTGCGCATCAGTCGGAGGTGCAGGAGGAGGCGGAGGTCCACGGAAACCTGGTCCAATATCATTCTTATGATGGTTCACTGAGTGTCCTAAAGCGAATGGTTTTGAATGAATTGGATGATGATTGGGAATCCTAGGCATGCCTGAAAATAAAAAAAAAAAACAAAATAAATCACACAGAAGGACCGTGCAGATTTGTAATTATATTATTAATAATATTAACAGTTATGGAGTTATCAAAATTTATAGTAACTATTTTCACGCTAGCGTAACCAGAGAGTGGTTTTGTGTTATTTAAATAATAATTATACATTATTTATTCATGATATAATTTTATATTAAATATGAATTAATTAAATGTTCCTATTACTTTATCCGTTTCTTTCTTACTGTCGTTATATTTCACAATTGATAATCCTGTTATACTAATAATGTAAATATTCCAAAAAACATCGTAATTAATCTAGATAAAATTGGGGATTACAGTTAGTTTTTAATTGGATAATATTATGTAGTACTAAACATTTTAGTATAAATGCAAAAATGAATATTTACTAATATTGTAAATAAGAAAGTTAGCTTATTTGTTTGTTATATTTTGACTCAACCAAATGTCATGAAATTTGACATACAAGTAGATATGAGTAGATAAGGACACAAATTACTTATTGTTGCGGTCAATCAACATTATCCTTGTTACGGAGGAAGTCGCGGGTAAAATCTAGTTTCAAATACTTTAATCTTTTACCTAATGGGTGATGAGGCTGATGATGGGGTGGATTCTGCCTCCTGTTATGTGGTGGTGGAGCCGGTGGTGGGGGTCCATTATATGCATGACTTGGGGTATCCCGTTCAGAAGATTCCATTGCTAATTGGTCCGCTGATGGTTCAGCTGCACTACTGGAATCAGCGCCCGCGTTGCCTCCTCCGCCGCTACTTTCGTTCGAAGACTGATCACTGAGAGTTCCACTCTGAAATAAGAAATGAATGCTTATCAGTATTCTTTTGTCATGAGTGAGAGCTGGTAGTTAATTTTATCTTGATTGGAAATTGTATTATGGGATTTTACCAGAGGAAGACTTTTAACAAGAGTCGTCTGCTTGGATGCCTCTGGCTGCGTATATTTTGTGTATATATATATATATATATATATATATATATTTGGTTTAAATGGTGGGATATAGCAATGCATGAAGGGGCAGCACATTTATGGGCAACACAGTATAATCTATTGTGTCCATGGTTTATGTTAGTTATTTGTAAATATCTCTAAAAATAAATGTACCATGTTTTGTTTAAATTAATTTTAACTAAATACTTACTCCTTTTTGAGATTCTATAATTATATAAAAACGAAATTAAATTCTAAGGGAGTTTCATTTCTCTGATTATACAGCATAAGTTGCTTCTACTTTTACCTATAATATGGCTCTACCTTAATAATTACCTAAATGTTATCATAAAATTCGTTAAAAAATAATGGGTCGCAGGAGAAAATGAAAATGTAAAAGGTTTTAATTATTTTCTATAGGATAATATTTCTTAAAAGATGTTATCAAATCCATTCGAATTTAACTCTTCACACTGAAATTTATAAGACAACTTCTGGGGAGAGCAAAATTAATTTATGAGAAGCAATAAATAATTTTCGAATCAAAGAAATTTGCCAAAGCGATATAGCTTTTAATGTATATGGAAAAAAGCTGATATTGGTAAAAAGATTGTTTATGCACAACGTGGTCTTGCCCAGTTTTATAATTTTATAAATATCATCTTCCATCACTAATCCACTACTGTGTTGTCAACATAAAGAAGAGAGGTAATAAGAAATAAACATATCACATAAATAAGCCACTGTATCTCTTATCTTATTTCATCGAAAATTACTTATTTCTTCCAAGTCAGCTTTCACTACCTACCGCGCGTGGGTAGTTTTTAATATTATTTAATACGACACACTGACCGTGTTAATAAGCTGGCTAACACCTGTAGCAGAAGCTATGTGACAACGATCAATTTAAACACTCAATAATCTGGGTTACTAATGTTGGGTGTTGCAGATGACCGTGGATTCCGATTTCCTGTGGCGTATACATAGAATAATGTGAAAGTTGTTCATGAGTTCGTATTTGTTTGACTTAAATCATGGCTGATTTGGCTGCTCTTATTTCCCAATATTTTCCAATAACTCGTTTTACTGGAATGTTTACTTTTAATATAAATTGTAGTTTGATAAATGAATTATATTCGACTTCGATTGGGAAGACGATCAACTAACATAAATGAGATTACTAAATAAAAACATCGAGTAATCAAAAAAGTTTTATAAGAAGGTTTGGAACTTGGAATAACTTGTAAGATAACAGGTACAAAATCCCAATTGAACTTGGAAATTCAGAATGAGACTGCAGAAACAATTGCGTTCTAAAATTTCAGATTCAAGGTTTTAAATAATATTAAACTTTAAAATATCGTTGTTGTTTGATAAATCTATCAGAGATGACTAATTCAGAATACTGAATGATTAATATTATAAATTAGTTTGTGTTTTAGAATAACTTTGGAATAATAGTTTGGTTAAGAATTTTGATTGTTTAAATAGGTCAAGTCAGAAGTTATCAGTTTGAAGCATCGAATAATAATTGAATGTAGTACAAAATTCTTACCGTACAAACAGCTCTAACAGAAGTCACTATTTTGGGATTTGGAATAACGATACGATAGTATTCTATATTAAATAACGGTCTTGTAAGCCATTATTAATGTTCAAAATAGCTTTAAAACGACTTCAATCTACCTTCGCTTCCAAAATTTTTTCCTCTTAAAATTCTTCTTTGAGTTCCATTCCTATCGAAAGATGGACAACAAGATGGGCAACAAATCTTATTTTTAAATTTGCAAAAATTCGACTGTTTTATCATTATTATTATTCATATGGTACGAATTCATTAAATTTCATTAACTTGAACTCAACTAAGCGTCGACAGGTTATTTACTTAGCTTAGCTTATATTCGTATTGATCACATAGTAATTTCATCAACAAATTCTGTCTTTAAGCAGATATTGTCAATTTTCAATAATCTCTTTATATATTATTATTATGAACGCATCAGTTAATGTCCTGTGATCAAAATTCAAGTGAGATAATGGGTGGCCGTGACATCAAAAGCGTATCTAAAATTATAAACCCTCGGTCTATGATTACCGATGGGTGCCTATAACATGGTGGGTGTTGACATCTCCGAACCCAGCATTAACGAATCGTCAAGACATTTATAACTCTCATTTGTTTCGCCTCGAGGTATGAAATTAGAAAGTATTGGCCCCAACAAGAGATGTGTTGGGGCCTTTTTTTATTATTTCGATAAAGATTTATACTCGCGGCCATAAAGACCTCCTTCACGTACATCCAGCAATTATTTTAGATTGGAATCCGGGTGAATAGCAGGGAAGACCGATTGTTACATGAATTGTGTAATAAAATAAATATGAGAGAAAGTTATAAGGGACATAGTTTAGTGTCCGATCGTAATCTATAAGATGGAGCGGCAACTATTACGACCAAATTGTGAACCGGCTCGAGTAATTTAATCATTCAAAAATCAAAGTTTATTAACATTTTAAAGGAGTGTTTACAATTTTATATTACTTAATTAAATGTTTCTTTTCCTTGGCTTTATTACGTTTAAATTAATTTTATTGACCTATATAAGGTAAAAGAATTTTCTTACTGATGTATATTTATAGTATTTTATTATCTATTTAGTTTATTATTTTATCCCTTTTAAACAGAATGACTTCTAATTATTTTAGATTATTTGATACTAATAAATCATTTTATATATAAGACACTAATGTTAGTTTACTTATGTGAGCACTAATTCTCATTGGATTATGTTCAGCGATTTAAAATTTATAATACTAGTTTACAATATGAATAAGAAGTACAAGTTTTTTACTATATGTTTTATTTCAAATTTGACCACAATTTCAATGATATGGTCTAAGTGTGAAATAATGCTTACTCGCTTCAACCTTACGAGTAAAAGAGCCGTATATTAAACCATAATCTACAACAGTTTTTGATATATTATACTCATTGGTGAGATGAGACTGTTTTACAAAAGATGGCCATTAATTTCAGTCAGTATCCGATTTTATTAAAACATTATCTTGTTTAGTAGAGCTTGGCTCGTTAAATGCTTTTAAATTCTGATAGAGTCGTTTAAAAACTAGACCGTGTATACATCAATGTATTTATTGCTTACGAGAAGTTATGGCAGTCATATATTTCGTATGGATGAATGGTCCATTGGTGTCGGAACAGAAATAATTGTAAGAAGTACTTATAAAATACGAGCACAATCAAGTCTTTATGTGTATTTACTAGTAGTATTTCGCAGCTCTACCCAGTATATGATATATCAGTGTATCAAATTTTATTAAATACGTCATTTCCCTTAATCGTAACAAACACCAAGCATCAATAAAAATATTTTTATTTATTATATCAGCCGTTAATTTCATTTCTGAACATAGGCCTCCCCCATAAGGGGAATTTTGCTAGTAGTTCTCATGCTTAGCGTGCGGGTTGGCAACCGCAGTTAGGCTTTGGTGATGTTTTGCGAGGGACACTGCTGCCTATCTCCCAACTATTAAGCTCCCTTAGTCGCCACTTACGATACTCACGGGAAAGGAAAGAGTGCCTAATACCGGTACCAATTTATAAATAAAAATATAAATAATAATAAAACCGGTATAAATTTTCGAAATTCCTTTCTTATTGTACATCTACCTTACATAAAGAACCTAACTGCAAAATTTTAAGATTGTAACTAAATTCATTCCAAGATTTGGGATATTATGAAATCCGCTATTCAACAAAACAATAATTGCACGCAAAATATATGTAATAAAATTAAAGTTATTTGGCGTAAAGCAAAATATTGTAAAAAAAAGCAATTTAAGACCCGCAGTTTATTTGATACGGCGTCTGTCTAGTCATTGGTGATCAACGGTCATTCAGTCGTAGTGGTTGTTGGGTCAATGCTCTTTTAAACTATCATGGACAGTATCATGAGCAAAACAGTACACTCTGTTATGTCCATGGTACTGCTCATGTCTATAGGCGTCGGTTACCACTTTCCATCAGGTGGGCCGTCAGATTGTTTGCCACACTAAGTTGTATAAAAACAAACTCTTAAATTCAGAATGTCTATCTATTATTTATTTATAGACAATATTCTTTTATACAGAGAATATGTATTGTTTTATAAGTATTTATTATTAATTTGTATACAAATAATTAAATAACTACTAAATATTATATTATTAACTGAAATTAATATAACGTAATTTAATAATAGGAAGTAAATTCATTATTGTAATATTGTATTAAACACTATTAAATAAAATAAAAATAGAAAAAATATGTTGTTAATAAAATTACTTAGAATAAGCTCTAATTGAGAAACTTCTTTTACAAGCCAATTGAAAATTTACCTAGAAAGTTCCAAAAACAAAACATTATAAAAATCAATTCAATATTTTTAATTTATAATTATTTTTTAAATAATATCATTATATTGTCGAAGTTCTATTATCATTATTAAAATATTTACCATATTTCGAAACAAACCATAACTAATGGTTTTAACAAAAGTAATGATTATGCGAATAATGAAATGGCTTTCATTAAATCATTATTTAGTATAAACGTAGGTATCAACAGCAAACAAGATCCGCTTTGTATCCGACATAGTATTTACTGAGGAGTGGCCGTCTCAAGTGCAGTGTGTCAGTGCGAGCTCGGTCGATGCTCTTAGCAAATTTTACTTTCATTAAATTACAGAACGTGTGCTCGATTCACAAACTCGCGGATTGTTTATATTCTTTCCTTGCAGAGATAGCGTGACGCAGTATAATATCGATTTAAGTTTAACGCTAAATTGAAAGTCATTAAGTAAACGA